TTGCCTACAAATATGCTGAGTTTCCCATGGTGGCCTAAAATATTCTTGCTCAACTCTTAGTCTCTTTTCTTTCACCATTAAAGAGATGTTGATCTTGTTGCCTTTATTACTTCATTACTTACTTAACCTCTTGTGGTATGGTTAAGTAACCATACCCAGCCACTGTCCTAAATGTGTTCTAATTCAGTATCCTATTGGAAGTTAGTAATCTCCTTAACCTCTCTCTGCAGCATGTTGACACTACTGTTCACCCTTTCCTCCTGGGCACTTCTCATTTGGCTTCTGTAAGGATGGTATTTCTGGTTGCTTTCTTCTTTTCCTCTTAAATGTGTTTGCCCCACCTCTTGCTCTAGCTCTCTTTAGTCCTCTTTTTTCTCACTTTCTCCCTTTGTAATATTACTTTCTGTGATTAGCTTTATTATTATTCCTGTAATGTAATTGAACAGAGGCAGGATTCTGTTAACTGCAAGAAAGAATTTTTTTCTTAAAGGAATCATAGTTGCTTTAATAATAGTAATAATCTGCTTTTGAGGTAGTCAGTTCTCCGTTATTGAAGGCTTTCCAGTGGAGGCAGAAAGACCCCTTGTGGAAAGGATTCATACATTAGGTAGGAAGTTGAGGCAGATGATTTTTTTTCAGGTCCCACCCAACTCAGAGATTTATCACATGCACTCCACTCCCATGGATTCCACTTTGCCCTTCATTCAGATGTTTTCCAAAGCCTTATTTCAAGCCTCTCTGGCTCCTCATCTCTCTTTCTTCCCACAAGCACAGTTTTGTGTCATCAAAATTGCTTCTGTTCTAAGCCACCGTGTTTTCTAGTTTCATCATCATTTTCCAGTACTCTTTTTTTCTTTCCTTTTACTGGCATGGCTTTGAGAATCACTGTTCTATGCTTAGCTACTTTTCTGATATTAAATTATATCTGCCCATGTTGGCTTGTTCTCCCCTTCTTTCCCTCCCACTCCCAAACTATGGGCACTCAAGCAAAGGACACTAATAGAGGAGGCTCGTGATTGTAAAATTGAAATTGATTTTAAAACTTTGTATGGCATAGTCCAAATTTAATGCTTAAAATGTTTATAAGAATAAATAGTGTAGTTGCAATTATTTATTGAATGTTTACCATGTGCCATGAGCTTACAAAGGTTATATAAGTAATCTTTCATTTAAATCTTACAACATTTCTGTAAGGAAGATACTGTTGCTGTCCCATTTTACAAATGAGGAAACAGGTTTAGGAGGGTGAAAAAGTTGTCAAAGGTCACACAACTAATAAATGACAGAGATCTAAGTCATTTTATGTCCAGTTTTCTTAACTAGTATATTATACTGTGTTACAAGAAAGGTAAAGATCTAGAATCAAATTTGAGAGTCAGGTAATATTATACAAAGAAGATAATGTATTTTTGACTTAGGTTTTTATATTGTTTTGAATGTACATGAACCTCTGTGAAACATTATTTGTTAGTGGCTTATGTGTACTTACCTCTTTTTCCACAATTGTCATTCATTTGTTCATTCATTCATTGAACATTTATGCAGTTTACTTTGTGCTTAGACTCTGTGCTGGGTATGGTATAGGAAAGTGAATGAAACAAGTATACATTTATGATATAGTGGGGGAAAAGGAAATAAGCAGGTAAAATAATCAGTTATAATATGAGAAAGACTATAAAGATCACAAACTATAATGCTAGTGGAAAAGAATAACACGGTGTGTGTTGGATTCAGGAAAGAGAAAGGGGAGGATATGCTTAAATACAGTGGTCAGGAAAGGCCTGTTATCCTACTAATCAGATGCAACCACTGTTAAAATTTTGTTAAGTACTTTTTCATACATTATATATAGCTATATAAAGTTTTTATATCAAAATTGCGATTGTACTAATTTCTTCACCCTCTGTTCCACTCCAGCATCTGCAGTCTGGCTTCCACCCCCACTATTGGACATGACATTGCTTTCTGATGTCACTGGTCATGTCCTAATTGCCAAATCTAAAGGTGGTTTTTTTTTTCCCCTTATTTTTTATTTGCAAATTTTGAGCTGATATTTTTTCCTCCTGGTTTTTCTCCCACCTTCCAGGATGTTCCTTCCTGTCTTTATCACAAGCTTTTCTTTATATCTTTCTTTTCTGTCTTCAGAAATGTTGTTCTCTTAGGTTCTGTACTTGGCCCTCCTAACTAATACTCCCCTAGAGTGATGTATCCAACACCAGTATCTTAAAGTCTATAATGACTCACCATAGTCTTATGGATTAAGTCCAAACTCCTTTATAAGGTTCCACCCAGCTTAAGGAATATTCATTTTTTTATCTGCAGAAAAAAGATATGAACCTTTACTAGTATTTATCATAAGGATTGATACCAGTACCTTCAGTCAGTCTATATATTCATTTATCAGATGGTCACATTTTAAATAAGTGAGCAAGCACAAGGGATTAACGTGGTATCCTTCACTAAGTTCATCCTTATGATGTAATATAGTTCACATGAGTGGTTAATTGGGTTTACAGATTATGTTATCAGTTTAAACCAATTCTTGAAAAATGTCCAATTAACTTAACATGATAAGTGTAGAGAAATCACATCTTGGATGAAAGATAATACTAATGGAACCACAAGTTAATAAGGTGCAAAGCTGGGTTCTCCTACTAGTACAAACTCTTCCATAACCATACATAAAAGTACTTGAAATATTTGTCAAACTTAAGAATATGTTTATTTATTTTTAACAAAAAGATAAAACATTCCAAATTTGCAGATCTTTTTAGAGATAGCATGTGACTGACAATAAAAATTAACCAAACAGATAGTTACAACACACACACACTGACCCTCACACTCTTTTAAACTCTTCCTGCAGGTTGTTTTTCCTTTTTCTTTTTGTTTTAAAATAACGAGTGAGAGAAGAATTTCTGGTCCAGATGGCAGAGTAGGTAAACGCTGTGCTTACCTCCTCTCAGGACTACATCAAAATTACAACTAAACTACAGAACAACCATCATTGACGCCCTGGGAACCAGTACACCTAGAGGGCAGCTTTGGACCAAGCCGGAGCATCATCTGGCTGCCTCCAAGGATGACACACCCAAAGGGCAGACTGAGCATGCACCAGAGCTCTACTAAAGTAAATCCTGCTCTGTAGGGTCAGCCCCTGCACAGCAGCTCCTCCACTGTGGTCACGGCCAGTCCTCACAACCGATCAGCCCAAGGGTGAATCCCTCTCACTGATGTGCAAATAGCAATCAAGGCTCAACTATAAGAAGAGGGCACACACAGCCAACACAAGGGACACATCTGGAGCACCTAGCTTTGGTGACCTTGGTGACTGAGTCACTGGGCCCCACAGGACTCCTACAACATAAGGCCACTCTACTAAGACCAGGAGGCATAGCAGCCCTACCTAATACATAGAAACAAACACATGGAGGCAGCCATAATGGGGAGACAAAGAAACATGTCCCAAATGAAATAATAGAACAAAGCTCCAGAAAAAGAACTAAACAGAATGGAAACAAGCAAAGTACCAGATGCAGAGTGCAAAACACTGGTTATAAGGATGCTCAATGATCTCAGGAGAACTTTAAAAGATATAGGAAACATAAAAATGGAGATAAAAAACATAAAAAGAACCAGTCAGAAATAAAGAATACAATAACAGAATTGAAGAATACATTAGAAAGAATCAACAGTAGATTAAATGAAGCAGAGGATTGAATCAGTGATTAAGAAGATAAGGTAGGAGAAAACATCCGCAGAACAGCAAAAAGAAAAAAAAAGAATAAAAAAATGATAGTTTAAGGGGCCTCTGGGACAACATCAAGCATACCAACATTTGCATCATAGGGGTACCAGAAGGAGACATGGGAGAGCAAGGAATTGAAAACCTATTTGAAGAAATAATGACAGAAAACTTTGCTAACCTGGTGAAGGAAATAGACATACAAACCCAGGAAGCACAGAGAGTCCCAAAACAGATGAACCCAAAGAGGCCTACACCAAGATGCATCATAATTAAAATGCCAAAGGTTAAAGACAAAGAATCTTAAAAGGAGCAAGAGAAAAGCAGTCAGTTACCTACAAGGGAGGTCCCATAAGATTATCAGCTGATTTCTCAACAGAAACTTTACAGGCCAAAATGGATTAGCATGAAATATTCAAAGTGATAAAAAGTAAGAACCAACAACCAAGACTACCCAGCAAAGCTATCATTTAAAATCGAAGAAGAGCTAAAGAGTTTCCCAGACAAAAAGCTAAAGGAGTTCATCACCACCAAACCAGTATTAGAGGGACTTCTTTAAGATGAAAAAAAGAAAAAAAATATGAATAATAAAATGGCAATAACCACATATCTAACAACAATTTACTTTAAATGTAAATGGATTAAATGCTCCAATCAAAGGATAGGGTGGCTGAATGGATAAGAAAACAAGACTTTTATATATCAGGACTATAAGAGACTCACTTCAGATTGAAAGACACACACAGACTGAAAGTAAAGAGATGGAAAAAGATATTCCATGTTTATTCATCTGTCAGTGGACACTTGTATTGTCTCCACCTCCTGGCTGTTATGAATAATGTTGCTATGACATGGATATACAAATATCTCCTTAAGACCTTGCTCTCAGTTCTTTTGGGTATATACCCAGAAGTGGAGTTGTTGAATCACATGGTAATTGGAGGAACCAACATAAAAAAAACCACATATTGTTTTCCATAATGGCTGTACCATTTTACATCCCCACCAACAGTGCATAAGATTCTAGTTTCTCCACATCCTTGCCAACACTTTTTGATAGTAGCCACCCTAATGGGTGTGAGGTCTGTAATCCTATTTTTAATGACAGTATCATCCATTGTTTGATTGTACTATAGCTTATTAACCAGGTCCTTCTTATTTAAGAGATTGGTTGTTTCAACTTTTTCACTCTTAAAAATAATGCTGGGATTATTTCTGTTCATGTTTTGGAGTATGTGTATATTTATTTTCTTAGGATATGTAATCTAGAAGTGGAAATTAAAGTAACTTTTGAAGGGAGGAGAGGTACGTAGAATACACAGGAAAATGGAAACATCAAGAAGTTCACAGTCTAATAGGTAAGACCTATACAAAAACCAGAATTTCATTATGATTGGTGTAAAAATAGAAATGCATAAAGAGTGACTAAGTGTGAGAAACCAAAGAAGGCCTTAAGAAGATAGTATTTGAATATGGTATGATATAATTATGAGAAGATTACCATGTGAATAAGGGTAGAGCTATTTATAGATTCTCATTGTAGGTAACTACTGATTAAATGCCAAATTTGTTTTTAGTTACAAGTGGAAGCATTAGAAATCAGAAATTGCCCAAAAAAAAGAAAAGAAAAAAAAAAGGGCTGGCTGAGTGGCGCGTTGGTTAAGAGCTGGCTTGGGACGCCAGAGGGCCCCGGTTCGGATCCCACATATGAGGGCCAGTGACACTGCCCTCTACAGCTAAGATGCTGAACAACAGCTCAACCTGGAGCTGGGCTGCCAGGAGTCGCTGGCGACGGCATAGGCTGCAGCCCCTGCTGCAGTGGGTTGCCATGGGCTACCATATGTAGCCAGCAGCCAGCGTGAGTGGCCAGCAGCTGCCGTGAGCGGCCGTCCAGAAGCAGGCAACTAATCTGCCTCACCCAGGAAGAGCGCAATGATGGTTCCAACTTGTGCCAGTGAAGCAACGTCCTCCACAACTAGACTGAAGAATAAAAGGACAGCAATTTGTCTCTTCCTTTCCCCCAATTCCCCAGTAAAAATATTGCCTGCAGTTCATGCTCAGAACTTTCCTTTTTCCTCTATTCTGTGTTTCTTGTTTGCTTTTATTTTTGCTAATTTCTTTCCTGGGCAGACAAACTATTCTTTGCTTACACTGAAACTTTCTTACTAAGATGCTTCATAATTTCTGTTCTTTTAGCCTTTCAATGAAAGATGATTTCTTTTTTTTTTTTTTTTGCTGCAATTGTTTAGAGGCCATTTGGATTTGCTGTATTTGTTTATACATCCATGCCTTATGAATAAGTACGTCATGTTTTATTACCAGTGATTGCACTTGCCAAGTGTCTGTATCATACTTATGTTGTCATTAACACAAAGTTTGGTTCTTACTGTAGGGACATCTTAATAAACTCAGGATAGTGAAGGGAATGGAGAATCAAATGATTGGAAATTAAGGCTCACCTATGTAGGCAGCCCCCTAATTTTACATAATCCCTTTATAGCTAGAGATTGTCCCTCTTTTCATAAGAAGAATAAGGAGAGGTGTAAGAAAAAATAGAACACCTGCATATGTTTCCCAATTCAGAATATTTAAGGAGTAAATAAGTTGTTCCTCCCCCCTCCTTCCAGATACAGAAATAACTTATAGGAGTCTAGAAATATTTTTCCACAAGTCCCCATATCCCCATGTATTTCTAGCCTCCTAAGATGGCACTGAAGGATTTCTTTTTGGTATAAAACAACATGAGGTAAAAAGAATAAATTGAAATTTTAGTGTACTATTGAATCAAAATTTATCAGACATCAAAGAATGGATTTTCAACATAAATATATTTTATATTTATAACTTACCGATTAAAGTGTCAAATGTGTTTATTTTAGCCATTTTATTTGATGAAGTTAACAAAAAAGTTAAAATGCTTAATGTTAAATTTAGAATTGTCTTTACTAAATACTTAATATCCAGGATTGTGTCATACAATGTTTCCTATCCTTTAGATGTTTTTTCTCTTAAATATGCAAATGCTTTATGCAGAAATAAATGCAGCAGGCCAATGAATGATGCCTTTCAAACCAAGGCCCTGATTAATTTTCCCAGATATTTTCATTGTAGTATTCTTTTGCCCTGTACACCTCACCAAACTGCCAAAGAAGTCCATAGGACAAGAAAGCTATGGCTCTGTATTGCTTAGAGAACCAACTGTAGTCTAGCCATACTGTGGGTGTTTTTGTAAATATGATTTATTTGTCAGTACTTCCCAATGCAAACATTTCATTCTAACCAGGTCAGTTTCCACACAGCCTTATGATTACTCCATGCCTCTTAACCTTTATTCATGCTGTTTGCTTCTGTTCAGGGACCTTGAGGAAGTTATTTATGTTTGTGCATTTTCGTAGCAGCTTGTTTCTTATGGTCTCAGTGAATGGTGTAATTAGAAATCTCTCCTTTGCATAAGAAGGACTGACACAGATGCAGGGAAGTCTGAGAAATGTAATTTTTAGCTTTCCACCAAACTAGAAGGGAGTTAGAGTGGGTGAACTTTTTGTCACTGGTCTTCTCTAGCCTTATGTCTCTGCTCTTTATTTCTTATTCACCAGATTTCCTAACTTGGCTTTTTTGTTGTTAAACTTTTTAAACCACATGTATCTTTGTAAACTATTTAGTCTTCCTAGGCCTTGCTATAATTGTCTCTAGTATGAGGGAACTTAAACTAGGTGATCTCTAAGTTTCCTTTTAACTATAAGCTTCTGTTTATATTAATTTATTTATTCCTTCATTAAAATATTTATCGAATGCCTGCTATTTGATAGATATGCTCAGCAATATAAGATTATCTACTCTTTAATAATAAAATAATACATGTTCTTCAGTATCCAGGTTATGTACTGCTTCATTTGTAAAGTCTTACCTGACACTATAGCCTATATAATCTTGCCTTGCCCCACAAATTCTTTCAGCACTTACTAAAAAAATGTAGACATAGGTTAACTTGTGTTTTGCTAGTGTTTTGATTGTTTTGATTACTTAATTTAATTGCAGGCACCTTGAAAAATACTTTTGTAATCATTTAATATAGTGACAGTCACATAGTAATAATAAATATAGTGATAACATTTATGAACACAAACTGAGGCAGGCTTTGTTTTAAATGCTTTACATATATCCATTCCTTTGTTACAAAATGTTAGTGAGATGGGATCTCTTTTTATCTCCATTTTTACAGAGAAGGTAAATACACAAAGGTTAAATAAATTTCCCCAAGGTTATACTGCTGGTAAGTGAAGCTGGGATATGAACCCATGCAGTCAACATTTTAAATGTTGCTTATGCTTTGAGGGATTTTGAATAATGTGTCTGTTTTTGAAAGTTTGTGACATGCATAATACTTATAGATGAATTTTGATTTGCTTTAAGTATCTTAATTATTATATTTTTTTACTCATTTTCAGTTGAGTGGTGATTTTATGCAATGGCTTCAAGTCACAGTTCTTCACCAGTGCCTCAAGGAAGCAGCAGTGATGTTTTCTTTAAAAAAGAGGTAGATCCGACAAAACACGTTCGACCTGTGCAGTCACTGCCAGATGTGTGTCCCAAGGAACCCACAGGTAATGCTTTTTTTTTGAGGATTTTTACTGAGGATTTGTATTATCTTTAAATGAGTAGTCAGATTTCATATATGTACCTTAAAAGAGTAAATTGTATGATGTTAAAACTAAAGAGATATAAATAATTTGGAAATAAGTAGATTAGCGAATTTAATATAGTTCTTTTCATGCGTTTCCATAAAAGAAGTTACTTAACGTAAACTGAAAAAAGTGTCTTGAAAATGTAAGTATAGATCATAAGTTTTTTAGTTAAACATAGCACAGTCAATCCTCATTATTTGCAGATTCAATGTTTGCAAATTTGCCTACTTCCTAAAACTTATTTGTAATCCCCAAATCAATATTGTGGCTCTTTTGTGGTCATTTGCAGACACGTGCAGAGGAATGAAAAATTTAAATCCCCTGATGCACAGGTTCCTACCTGAGGTTGAACAAGGCAACACTGCCTTCTTGTTTCAGCTGTCATGCTGTAAATGAGTGTCCTTTTTGTGGTCTATTTAGTGCCATGTTTTTTGAATTTTTGTGCTTTTTGTTGGTGATTTTTCTTTTTAAAATAGTTCCCAAATGTAGTACTGAAGTGCTTTCTAGTGTTCCTAAGCACAAGAAGGCTGTAATGTGCTTTATGAAGAAAATATGCATGTTATATAAACTTCAGTCAGATACGAGTTATAGTGCTATTAGCCATGAGTTCATTAATGAATGAACAATGTGTATTAAATAAAATGTCTTAGAAACTCACACAAGATTATGTATTGATTGGCTGATGAAAGTGTTGTGACCACAGACTTGCAAAAATTTAACCCTGTATTTCCATTAGGAGAAATGGTTCAGTATTTGTTAAGGTAGTGTTGCAGTGACTTTCTGGAACAGAACTACTGGGAATAGCAAGAATGAAATGTATATTTTTTCCCCTCTATGATTAATGCCACAGCAGCATTTATGTTATTTAATTATAAGCCAAAGAAAGAATATTGGAACCAGTAATGTCTACCATAGAACAATAGAAAAAGGCCTACTTAAAAAAAAGCCCCTGGATTTTAAAGGATAGAAGATCTGAAATAGAAGGTAGAAGAGTTTTGATGTTGAAAAAAGATAGAGAAATTGTACAGTAAGGAAAGGAATTAATGAAAGACTTTCTTTCCCACCCAACCTATCCTGTAACTACAACTCTCAAATTTTGCATATCTTTTATCTTGTACATGTTTTTCCTCCCTTGGCAATTAATGCTGAAAGCATCAAGTTTATTTAATCAGATTATTTTTTATTAAAACATTTGCTATAGAAGAGACAATTTAGTTGCATTTTGATTTTTCCAGGATGTACTTTCAAACATAGAACTTACTTGACAGAGTTCTCTTGTTTACTTTTTACAGGTGATTCAAATAGTTTATGTGTTGCCCCATCTCTAGTTACAGATCAACATAGATGGACTATATATCATTCCAAAGTAAATCTTCCAGCAGCATTAAATGATCCTAGATTAGCAAAAAGAGAATCTGACTTCTTCACAAAAACATGGGGATTGGACTTTGTGGACACGGAAGTCATACCTTCATCCTACCTCCCACAGATCAGCAAGGAACACTTTACAGCATATCAACAGGAAATCTCTCAGGTAATATCTAATCTTGAAGTTAGTTATAATCAGGTCAAAAGTAATAGGAAGATTTTTAGTTTGATTTATTATAAATTTTGACCAATAGTCTCTGAGGCACCTCTGGCATTTTTTCTGTTCATACATATTCTGT